AATTAAAGCTGCCATAAATATTTTGGACAAAATTCAGACTAAAAACTTCCTACACGGATTTTATATCACATTATGTACAGACATTGTATAATAGGATTAAACTCCAGACGCGAAAGGATCAGTACTTATGAACATCGCTGACTGAACAGCGATGAAAATTGCTTATGGACGCGTCGACGCGACATGTCCATAAAATTTCCCCGTCGAGTTTTACGTGACGTTGGACATCACCACGTAGCAAGCAAGCAGCTTACGCGGTCGCTGCGAAATACGTATGTGCGGCCAATTTATTTGCATGTAGCTGCTGCTACTGCGAGGTCGGAAAAAATGTCCTCTTTAAAGCTAACAGGACCAAATCAGAATTAAACATACTACATATTTAGTACTACTTATTTTATACGCTTATTTTGTACTAATTTGTACCACAAAAAGAACTTTATATCTCGTACCGTTTTGGAAAAAAATAGTGGCGCTGTTAGCTTCATATTAAGTCAGTAAGATCACAAAAAAAGAAAAATAAGGACATAAATAGAAAGATCCGAATTATATATATAAATTATATCACTAAAAAATTTTTATTTTGCATTTATTTTGAAGCAACCCCCGATTGATTCCACCCCTTATTGAATTCTACATCTTAAGAAGTATCTTTCGTTATCAGTAGCATTTTATTATATTACTTTATGCACACACATAAAGAGAGATAGAGATGCTCTCTCTGTCACATAAAAGCTGTATTTGACGAGATTCCAAATGAATGCAAAATCTAGGAATATTGTATGGACTCCGTCCCGAATTAGCTTATTAAAATATCCCGGTTATCTACTCGATGCATTACGGCATTACGGCGAAGAGAGAAATCCCCGAGTTTTTCCGGTGTTCACGGCTTTTCAGAGGCGTGACAGCTCCGATAGCGCGCGCGCTTCCCTTGGTGGATGAAAGCACGGAAAAACATGGAAAATGAGAAGTTTTGAGAACGATCCTTTGTACGATCATCGTGTTATTTCGAGATACGGGAATAAAAGGGATCACCGATCGCGTCGTTTAATGCGACCACGGGAAGAAGTCGGAGTGCGCGATACGCCAATGTGTTGTCGACGGGGAAATTTTATTTTTCACGTTCGCACGCGTGTGTGTGTGTGTGTGTGCAAAGCGAGCCTGATTTCTTGCAGCTGCGGGAAAAACGCGAGCGCGCGTGCATCTCGCTCTCCCGTGTACCGATGGCGTGACCGGAGGCACATAAATTTACAGTTATAATGGAGCTAACTTATTAAACTTGCAAATTGCAGTTACGCGTAACGCCAAGTTATTAGCGAGTCGAAAAGTCCGGTGACTCTAGTTGCGCTTAAATAATACATCGCGATTTCGTTAAATCCCGTCTTCCATTCAGTCTTAGCGTGTTGCGAGCGTTTCCCTGAATTTAAAGCTATTACATTAAGAGAAAAGGGTCTGAGAAATATATATAGTAAATATTTCTTCGGTGTGAGCACTAATAACCTGTTTACTTATACCAAAATAAAATATTTTTCAAATAAGAAAATATGACTTCTTTTAGAACTTTTTTCAGAGATGATTTACTTAATTTTTTCCTTAAGGATAAACATATCAACAATAAAATGCTAAATTTTTATTTAAAAATAATAAAAATTACAAGTTACAAATTTTTTTGCAAAAACTCACTTTTTTTTAAATCGCGAAATATAATAATTTTTTTTAATATGAAATTTCTTTAATTCTAATATAATAATTTTTTTTAATATGAAATTTCTTAAATTTTAATGCCAAAAGTATATAAATACTTTCTATAAACATTAAAGTTAATCCATGAATTTCTTCAGAATTTTAGCAAAAATATTTTAAAAGATACAGCTGTTTGAAAATTGCCATGAGTGGCAACTACCCAGTGTATACGCGAAGGTTGAAAAAATAAGTATACGAAGGGTTAAAGACCAAAACAATAACAACGTTCAAGGTGAGGTACGTATCCAAGCATTGATATTTTTACTTTAGAGCTAAAATTTCGACTCGACAAACCATTCGGATCAAACAATAAAATTATTTAGAAAGCCAAACAATCGTACTTGTCGATTGAAACAGTAGTTTCCTTGAACCATCATCAAATGACTAAATTTGTTTGGATGCAATTTATGAAATGCAAAGAAATTTTTTTCTCCATGTAGTCAAAGAAGTTCACCGCAGAAATAACTTTGGCGGACTACACAAGGATTTAAAATCGTAAATCGCCCCGTAAATCTGGCGCGAGGCTTCGCGGTATTCTTCTTGGCACGCACACACGCGTATCAGACAGGAGGTAAAACGAAGTTACGTGGACCCGCTGAGAGCGCGCACGCAGGCATTAAGCCGGGTGTACATAGGGAAAGGACTAATACCTCGTGTTCAGCAGTCATTAACGTCCTTGGCGCGGCGAGTAATTCCAGGTCTTTCTTCAATTTCAAGAGCTAATGCGGGAATAATATTCACCCGGACACCGCCGGACGGTGATTAATGTCCCCTGTGATTTTTCACTACACCTAGCCACGCTGATTTACATCTACTACGCGGATCTAACCACCTCCTGGCCAGACGCCACAATGTAAGACGAGATTTATGTCACCGGAGATATCCATCCCCGACGGAATGAAATCGTTAAACTTCTGATATTTTACTCAGATTGGGCTGTACGCAACGCGACCTGATAAATGAAATTTTCACACAACTTTCCGTCAGCAGTTCACAGGGTTGCGCTACATACATATATCATTGCGGAGAGCGCTCTCGCGACGCGATTAATCACAGTGCGCGCGAAGGAAGCCTTTACAAGAGACGCGACAGGGTAATGTTTCACGCTTTTGCGACTCCTCTGGGTAAACAGCGAACGTCAAACTACTGGGTGGTCCATGGTGGGCCCGCGGGAATAAAATTTGTCCCATCTCGACTACACATATACTTGTTACTCCAAGAAAGCGTTGTATCAAACCAACAGAAAAGACACAGAAAATTGATATCCGAGCGACCCGGGCAAGGGAGCTGTCTGACCATCGGTCCAGGACGCCCGAGTCCTTCGCGAGTCTCCTCCTGCGCGGCTACGAGGAGCGTGAAACAATGGCTCGCTAATGGCGCGGTAAGACTGCATCCGCGGCGCAAATGCAGCTGCAACAATGCAGCGGTACCGCAATAACGAACGCATTGTTGGCAGGCGCCGCGCGACAAAGAGCCCACATTATGAGCCGTATTAACATGTCCAGGCGCATCAAGGCGCCCTCTTAATAATTTACTCTCTCGAGGCCCGAGACCGCGGCTCGATCCGATCCGCGTCTGCCTACGTGTCGCTCGTTACCGTTCCGCCTTCCGCTGTGTCTTGGCGCTAAGCTGCCACCGATGCGCCAGAGAAACCGCGTGCTTATTTCGCCATGCGCGAGACTACACTGAGAGAAAAGACTGGTAACTATAACAAACTGCATTTAGTTACAGAAATTCGTTGAATCCTTAGTAACTAATACTAAATATGATAATAATTACCAAATATTTAATAGATCGGGAGTATGATGTAATTGCATTTACAGTAACATCAATTAAATAATTTAGTAATAGTTACTTAATGTTAAATATTTAATATGAAATATATTACAGTTATGAACAGATATTTGATAATTGTTATGAAATTGTTATATCCTATGTAATAAAAGATTCAATAGGTACGAGTCCTATTTTGTTACCAGTATAAGTATGTTTTGTTGCAGCACAACGAAAAATTCATTCATTTGCAGCTATTACATCGTTTCAATATCTATTATTATAGATGGTTGGTTGAACCTACCAAAAATTTTGTAACTATTACAAAATCGCTTATTTTGCTCAACTATTCAATAAGTTTTATTTACCAAATATATTCTGGAAGCAAATAAATTTTACTTCTGTCAAATAAATAATTTATTTTACAGAGCTAAATTAATTAATAAATATTGCTATAGCTTTGGCCCGCTATATTTACGTCTACCTTTTAATAATAGTAACCAAATTTTGATAATATTTACTAAATCCTTCTCTCAGTGTAACCGTATCGCGATACTCAAACATGGTTGCATTGACCGTCTGTATATTGTGCACCGAAAAAAAAGATTAATAACCATCAAACCTGGGTAGTAATAGTTACCCAGATGCTTTGGTGAAATAGTTTCAACTAAGCAGGTAAATATGATAATTTGACAAGTATTAACAAATAAACTTAGCAAGACTTGTGGTATCTGTTGCTAAGACTTGATGACTGTTACCAACTTGTCGTACGTATCAACAAACAATTTATTAAAAAGAACCATATTGTTTAGTGATACTTATCGTATTATATGATAAATGCATGAAATGTGACCAAACATTTTGGTAATAGTCTCAATATTTAGGAATTATTACTTACATTATTTACCGAACCATTTAATTGGTTCAACTAAATGAAGAATTTATTTTGCTAATTATGTTATAATTATTACCAGATGGTTGGTAACTATTACTATATTTGATACTAATTATATCAAATATCGCATTGAAATGTTCAACCAGAAGCATTTCTTAACTATTACAAGACTTTTTTTACAAGACTATTATAAAACTCGGCGATTTGGACTGCAACGTTATCTGTGACGCTTATTGATTTAATTGACAGCGTCATTTTTATCGCCGACTGACATTAAACAAGACAATTCAGAATGAGGAATCATACACACGCAATTTATCTTTCTCTCGAGAATATAAATTAGAAATACTGAGAATAACAAAGGTCACCTTGCACCTCATTTAACTGCCATTATCCACTTCCAGGACATTCGAGTCCTCGGGCGTTTCGAGTGATTTAGATTTCATCTCAAATTGGTTCCTTTCAGTTCTCGGGTAACTGTTCGGTGTACCAATCTCGGAGCAATTTGAAGGGATTTTGACCGGATCAAGAGTTCTTGAATAACCTTATAATTGCTTATTCTCTTCAGACGTTTATCGTAAGGATTACTCACCTTCGTACATCTGCGCGTATTGCGGGAATCCGGCGGCTCTTAGCCATTTGCATGCCTCTTGCGCCTCGATTTCTGCAAAATTATAGAATCATGAATTAGCATTAATTACGGAAAAATTGCAGAGAAATAATAAATTAGCAAAATTACAAATTAATATTTACATTCGAAGTGAAGACGATATGCAAAAAATAGAAGAGGCTGTATGGCCTCAAGGATATGTTGCTCATTTGCTTTTTTTTGTATTTATCTTGAGAGTAATAGTGAATACAAAAATTGCGAAATGGTCCTTTTATAGCATAAATATTTCTTCTTGAGTTTCATTAAAATTAGAATAATATTACAGTTAAGAAATAGAAACAGCTTATTTGATAATAGTAAAGTAAATTTTCGAGCTTCTCAAAATTTTATATTAATATTCTCCATCATGACTGAATAAAATTAAGCGATGTGTTACTAGATAGAATGAAATTGCAAGTGTATAATATATTCTGGTAATAAATACGATTTTCATTCATAAAATGATTGAAATAGAACATATGGGTGGACAAGGTAAAGTTGAACCATAATTAAGGGCAGGACGGCTGTGGAAGTCTCTCGTGGATACTCTAGGACTATTAATCAAAATACATATTTTATACGTGGCCTTCTTTACTTTGCGTTACTGGGTAACTGAATACGATATCAGGACAAGTTGGCTATGTTGTTGCATGTTCGTATTTTGATTATTACAAAACAAAATATACAGTTAACTGAGTCGTGGTAGGTATTAATACATAAAGAAGAAGGTTCTTTCTATTATATATCTATATGTTTATAAAACAATTAGTTACTTTGAAATTGTAACTTTGAAATTTTAAAATACATGGCCCAGTCTCCCCTAAGAAGCCTCCTCGCCATTATTCAATGGCTTCACCTTTGTAAATGCAATCAAAACATTTGCAAGAAACGATTCTCGAAATTGACTGGAAAGAAAGAGCACGATGCAGGAAGCACACGCGAGATTTGTCGGAGAAAAATCGGCCGGAGGACGAGAAAAGCGTCTCCTGGAAAGTCGGTCGCCCCGCTGAGACGAGAAGGACGAGAATTCATAATCGAGCGCCGGGCGGGATCGCATATCCGCGGGGCGATAAAACGTGGGTAGCCATCAGTATCGATATCGCTGCGGCGGATTTATCGATTCCCTTAGCAGCGGGTAGTCCTCGCGAATGAACGGCCGATGTCTTTATTTTCCGCCTCCGTGTCGGAGAGTATCTCACCCGCGGCGCGCGGCAGCGCCGGTAGTTGAATCGATGCACCTTTTAGTTCGCTCTTCGATTAATCTGCGGCTCTTAGAACGCCATTAGTCGCGCTAACAGCGCGTAACGCTCGTATTTCATCTATCGAATTTATGGCGCGTCTCTACACAGCCACTCATTCGTTTGTTTTTCTTAATTTGAGAGGTGAAAAATTCGAGCTCCCTCTCTCAAACATTTCAAACGCCTGGGGAGTCGAGTGTTCAAATATGTACAGTCTAACTTTTAGATCAGATCAAACAGTGTGAGTTTTGAGATTTGGGTATTTGGGCATGACGTCTGTGTGTTTACACGAGACTGGTAAAAAGCAACGATTCGGAAACCCTGCCATTTGTAGATTCAGTCGTTTCGCAAGCGCGTTTCGAAGTCAAATGCAACGCGACAACAACGACATCATTGTGATGCTCGTTCAAGGGGAAAAAAGCGATGAAACTGAGCTACGGGAAGTCACGCGAGGTCGACGACACGAATTTACGTAAGTAGCCATGCGTTCATGTATGTATTCATGTACGTATTCACGTATGCCACTTATAGACATGCAAATGAACCGTCTCGCTCCTAAGTGCCTACCAATTGCGTTCAGATCCCAAGTCGCACGAAAAGGATGTTTAGGATGTGCTCGCCTTTCTCTCGAGATCGCGTTTGTCTCTCTCTCTCGAACATATAATATGAAACGCCGCCGCGTCGTTATCGCTCGCAAAATTCCTCCTGCGGCAAACATGATAATATAAAATAACGTGTTATTGACGTTAGAGACATCACTTATACGTTATTAATATGTCATTAATACATCATCTTGCTACTGGAGCCGACAGTTTATCTTTCAAAGAGAAAAGAACGAGAAAAATCTCTAAGCCAAAAAATATCATCTCATTTTTTATAGAATCCTCTTGTGTATGGCTTTAAAAGAATTCTTCTAAAGGCAAAAGGAAGATATTATAAGTATGCTATTATTCATTTTCATTAGAATAAGAATACTGTTCTAAAATCATTTTATATAAAAAGAATACTGTTCTAATTTACTGAACACTAGAAGAGGAAGACTATTTCGATAAAAGTTTTCGCTTAGAATATAGGATTATAAGAAACAGCATCTTGCAACTATTCTTTTTTCTTTCTTTGGAATGTTAGAACATCTCTTTTTTTCATTTTAGAAGAATCTTCTTTCGACTATATAATAGTAAAATGCTTTAAAATTCAGAGAATTCCACTAAGGATGAGGTAATGTTCTTTGAGCATATATATTTAAGTACCAAGGGGATGAAACCGGGCGAAAGGGTAGGGTATCCAGGTTTCACGGTAGCCTGTATTTATCGTAGGTTTCTAGAGAGTAATTATGCAAAATTTGATCAAAGTCGGTCAAAGGGTTTAGAAATTAATAGGGAATATACAGACAGACATTCTATTTTGTTCATACATATGCAGGATATACTAAAATAACTCGAAAGTTCTCATGGAGGTAGTATGGATTGAAGTGAACATAAAAGTCCTACACCGTTTTGTGATATTCGCAATAATTATCGAAATATTAATTAAAGAAGATTAGTGAATGATTACGCGAGATATGGTAGATAAGCTGTAGTGGCGACTTCTACCATTATGTAGATTAGGTCAAACTGAACAGAAAAATCCTCTATTATTTTTCTAATAACTTTGTAAATTTTTAATTATTAATTAAAGAAGATTGGCGGATAATTGTTCTCGATAATATATTAATGTTATCTAATTAATAACTGATTATTAACTAATAATTAATAACTAAAGATCTACAAAGTTACTAGGAAAAAGACAGAGGACTTTTTTGTATAGTTTGGCCTAATGTACAAGCATACAATGGCAGACGTCGCTACTACAGCTCATTTATCTCACGTTATCATTCACAAATCTTTTTTAATTAATACCTCGATAATTATTGCGAATATCCTAAAATAATATAGAACTTTTATGTTTACTTTAATTCATAATATGCTTTTACGAGAGCTTTGAAGATTATTCTGAGACGCCTTGTACGTATATACATCTTCTATATGTTATAAAAGTTTAAAAACTCGTATTTATTTATAAAGACCAAATCAATAAGAACGCTTATAGTTAAATACGTGTTCAGATATGGATACATTTACCTGAAATCGCGTATAACCTGCTGGCGTCTCATTGGGCGCATATTGTAATACGTGAAAAAAAAGATCTCACGAGGAAGAAGATAAGGAAGAAGTGTGGGTGTGGGTTTGCGCAGCGGAAAAATAGTAAACGAGAAGTATGGCAGAAATGTAATCCAAAGGGCGTGTAAAAATTCGCGAGCGAGGAGGATGCAAGCGAACACGAAGAACAAGGAGATGAGGAAGCGGATGAGGAAGAGAAGTTCGCCTTCACCGGCGCGGAGATCGTTACGGCAACTAACACAGTCGCCGTGGATGCGTGGGCGAATTATAATGAGATAAAGTATCTATATAAACGTTAAAAATATATCCCTTCCGCATCATGCGAATAATGCGCGGAATCGAAGCCGCGGAAACGCGAGAATAAAAGAAATTAATTAAAATTTTAACAAAATCGACATAGCTGAGATATGAACCATTCTAAATTTTTTATTTAACTTTCAATAACATGAGAATTTTTTAATCAGAAAGCGTATACAGAAAATGAAGTATTACTAGGACAAATATATGAGCAGAAGACTTGATTATTAATAAGTTGAATATATGAATTCGTGTTGTTAACTTTCCACTCTATTTTCGTTGAGTAAATGGGCTCAGATTTTGTGCATCTCATGTGCACAGTAACTGTAAAAAAAGGCATTACATCTTGATTGGGATCCTAAGTAGTTTTAGTTACTAGATTTGCACAGATTTAAAATATTTCGGTTGGAATCTTGGCTAAAGAAATCTAGAATATTTCGTATCTCAGCTATGCCGATTTTGTTAAAATTATTTAACTATATCTTGTATTCAATTTTATTTCCTATGCATTTTTGTTGTACTTGTTGATGATAGGAGTGAGAACATTAAAAAGCTATAAACTGCTCGTGAAACTCAAAGTGGGCTAAAATGAAAAAAATACGACCTAAATATTTTTTGTATTTCTACATTTGTGCCAAATTAGGGAGAAATCGGAGCGTAATTTTTAGGTAGGTTTACTTGTATTCTACTGAAGGGTTCAAGTAAACGCTTGAGACACAGGAGAAGTAGCTGCGGATCGCTAAGTTAGCCTGAATTAATTAACGGGTTAAATCAGGGAGTTTGAAGATTCGAGTGAACTTCTCGGTGTGGAAGCCGCTTGACCCATGTAACAGTAGCGATCGAGTTGGAAGGTATACAGCTTACTGGCGAAAAACGAGCGGTAGGCTTCCGTCCCGCGCGAGGTGACACACCTACGTGTCGCTTTGCGCGGAAGGCAGTTGGAAGTTGAGAGTAGCGACCTACCGCAAAGCGGCATTATTCCATAGTAAATTTCTGTCGCGTGCCCTCGCGGAGGTGCAAGCAGATGAGTAAGGAGACTCGCGCGTTCGCAATGATTAACACCGTGAGAATAAAAGACGTGAAGATTTAATCTCGCGCAGCTCGGACACGCGTTTCAATATTTGCGGGAATTATGCTGCTCAAACGTTACGTGTAATGTGTCAATAATCAATACTATATCCAAATGAGTTATATTTCATAAGACTTAGACTGCAAAGGTCTTATCAGAGAGAAACGTCAATTCGCATGAACTCGTATGGTAGTATAAAACGTCCCTGATAGAAATTTAATGTAGTTTTTGAGCAATTTTACTTGGACAGCT